TTTTTTTTTTTCATAAAATGGTTCCGCAATCTGATTCCACCCGAGATCCAATATTTACCCAGTTGTAAACCTTGTGCCATCAGATTTTTTAAAACAGAAGGTGATGCAATGCCGATAAGTTGCAAGTCCCTCCCCTGTGGAAGTACCAGAGCATTGGCGGCGAGCATCCTTAAAGAAATATCAATATATTTACGCTCTGATGGGCACAATTGCAAATGATGGTATTGCAATACGAGCTATATAATACGGAATCAGGAGAGGAATGGTCGATCCGGCTTCAGCTGCCTTTTGTGAGTGCACGACTGCATGCCTACTAAATTTAGAAAATGCTCGCGAGGGAAATGAGAATAATAATAATGATAATAATAAAGGCTAAAATGAAATGAAGCCAAAAAAAAAAGAGAGAGAGAGAAATGAAATAAAATATAGATATATATATATAAAATCAAGTCAGCAGGCGTAGCAACAGAGGACTGCGTTTGTAATAATGAGTGAGTGGCCTGGCGGTCACTATACACTTGGGGTCCTCTGAGCTGTATGCAATTCGTTTGATCAAAGTGCATCCTTGGGGAGAAATGCAAACAGCAATCTCTAACCAAGTTACAGGGAACGCCATGGCACGGTAAGGACTGTAAGTATCACACAGATTTCCCCCACCAAATAATCTAGATAGCTCCGGCTCCAGCCCCTGCTAACTTGTCTGGATAGATGGTATTTACATTCAATGGGGGAAACTAGCCGAGTTTGGAGGGGCGGGGGGAGGAGGGGGAGAGGGAAAGGGGGGGCCTTCAAAAATACTAAGACAGATGCGTCCTTTAGGATTGCTCAGAGAGGTTAACAAACACAAATACAGGTATCTCTGTGGCTCTACCTGAGTCATCAGTCTGTCAGCTCCCGTGTTCTCTTCATCCTTAAAAATAATGTCAGGGTTGTAATTTGGGGTTAGTTCTTTAAATCTCTCGGAGTTTCTTGTGATCTTCCCTTCATATCTTCCACTGGCCCCTAGGGTCTTCTCTGCCACATTGGGAATAAACTGCTTATAGGCTAAAGGGGTCAGCTTTTTGGGGTGTCTCCTTTTTCCAATGCCCCTGCCTGGTCCACAAGTCAGCCCAGAGGAGACTAAAAGAGCGCAGATGAAGCCCACCAAGAGAATTCTTGTCAACAGCAGCATTTCGTCCATTGAATCCAATTACTTCAAAGCTCTCTGTGCCTATCCCTGGCTGTCTCTCTAGAGCTCTCTCTCCTCCTATGTCCTTGTCTGCTTTCTGAATCGTATACTATCCACCGATCCCTAGCAAGACAGGTGCTGGAATGGCTGGCTTTAGGTCGCTGATAACGGAACACATCGGAGTTTGGTCGGGAGACAGCAATCGAGAGACAAAAAAAGGGTCTGATTTTAATGGTAGCAAAGCAAGACGCTTGTGAGAGGAGTCTGCCTTTAGTTCTATATTATAGCTGCCAGGGCCGAGAGCTGATTGGCCAAGGCGAGACAAGCTTGTCTTCTGATGTTTTAACCCTCAAAAAGGCAACAAATTCTTGAAAGATTTTTTTTTCTCCTTTTACCTGAAGGGCTTGGAGCTGAGAGGGGTGGAGATCGCGCTTTCTTGGGATAACATCAATTACACGCTGTTTTTTTTTTTCAAAAACTTTCTTGGCAGAATGGTACATTTGTCAGCAAGAGGAACAGATGCCTCTGAAAGAGGAAAAAAAAAATAAATAAGATTAGCAGGCTGCTTCAGTGCAAATCAAGTTTCTGAGGGCAGTTACGGTTAAATAAAATGCCGAATTATCGGGGAGCCTTGCAAATAGAAACGTATTGGGGGAATATTAACGCCCAGGGTGGGAATAATGCCATTTAAGAGCGCACCCACCTAAGTGGCTTTGTAACAGGTTTCTCCCCCCCTGGAAAGGGAGATTGCTCTCCCTCCTAAAGACATTCATTGCTAAACACACTCTCCTTTTAGCTGATAAATGACTACTTTAAAGGCAGAAATAACTAAGGCTGATGCGAGGCGGCAGCTCTATGAAGTTAGCGTGTGTGACTTGTGTATCACACAACTGCACTGGGGAGGGATCTAAATGGCACTTTTTAAAAAATAAAACCAGGGCTATCGCCCAGTTTAAAATAATGTTGTATCTTCAGAAGTGCAGGAAAAAGTCATCTGATTAAAAATAGATGGTCTCCTGAGCACGCTGGGGCTATATTCTTTGTTTCTTTGGTCGAAGTCGAAGAGGAGCGTTTTAGACTCTTACACCTCCTTGCGGGGTGTCATTAAGTTTTTAAGAAAAGCATAGTGTTGAAAGCATCCGCAAACACAATTAACAGAGATCGATCCAAGCAAAGTGAATGGAAAGGGGATAAGTTTAATGTTAAATTAATTGTTATCTCATGCAGCGTGGCAAGTGATGTCTTTATCCCGATCTCCAAAAGCTACTAATCAGACAAAGGTGTTGAGAGACGAGCAAAATTGCAGAGATGGGGCTGATAGAGCAGGTTAGGCAGAAAAGCAGAGTCCCATATGAACAAACACTTCTCTGCCTGTAAAGAGCTCATTTACTTTTGCTCCTAAGAAAATACGATTTGTCCTAGGATCTAGAAACTTTCAGGAGTTTTCTAGGAGTTCTTAAAAATATTAGGACGACATGCTGAAGTAATTCAAAGTCCACTTTCTCAGAAAAAAAAAATAAATAAAAAAACCCCAACAATAACAACAACAAAATACCCAAAAATCAACTTTACTTAAGTTTGTTGTTTTTTTTTTTTTTTAAAAAAAAAGCTCTTTGGGGCGAGCAATTATATGGGAGTTTTCCGGTCTGTGACATCGAGCTAAGTCGTAATCAGCTTAAACCATGTGAAAATGGACTTTAAAATTAGTTTTTAAGTGGGAAAAAAGTTGTACATCCGTGAACTGTAGCAAGCAAGACCGCATGGACTTTTCAAGGGACAAAGTGGTCTTTAAACGTAAACTTTAGAAAATAGCCGAAAGAAGTGTTCCGAAGCTCTCACACAGACTAACTGCTGCTCTTCCCTCCTTTTTAGCATATACTTTTCTTCTGCTATTTATGTTTCTTTGTAGAGTTTCACTGAACTATTGATTTCTCTTTCCGAGCTGTAAATTTTGAAGTTTTGACTTGAGAGCCGGTAAAAAAGTTAGAAAGCCAGCAGCTTGGCTTCTAGGTTTTTATCAACCAACTCAGTTGCAGAAACAAGTTGTATAACAGCTAAATACCTGCTTCATGCTATTAAAAAACAAACTTAAGTTTTATCTCCCCGTCTGCGTGCATGTGAGAAGACAGATACAAGGAATATATAATTTATACAAAAGAGGGTATGTTCTTTTGATGTGGTTGCTTAAACAGCATGACTTGATATAACAGTTGATTAAACAGTGCCAAGGAATAAAAGCTATTCTTAATGGTGTGGGATACTGCAAATCTTTTATCACCCCTCTTACCTTGTCCCCCTCCCCAGGGAAAGATGATCGATATCCCAGGCACTAGACGGGTGGACATCGCAATGAAGAAGTATAGAGAATAAGGATAAACTCCCTCATTATCAGATTGCCATATGTACAAAGCAGTCACCCAAAGATTAACAGGAAAGGAAACGCAAAGAAGGAATTAATTAAATGCAAGTAATAAATGCGCGGGGAGGGAGGGGTGGGTAGAAAGTTGTAACTGTGGGAAGCTCGAAATCACCCTCCTATCAAATTAGATGTGAAAGAAAGCAGAGCTGGGGGGTGCGGGGAGGCTCTGCTCAGTTTCAGCGCAGGCTGGAGCTGGACGCGGCCCCGCCGGGAACCGGGCAGGGGGAGCCG